ATTATATCACATATATATTATGGTAATAACCATTAACAGCATATGGCAATTGCATATAACTAGCTCTATCACACGTTTTCGTTTTACAGTACAGATCGGTTATTATTATATTAATATGTATGCAAAAAAGCCAAAATAATGGAAAATGGCAGCCATTTTAAATTGTAATTGCTCAAAAATGTGTACAATATTTAGTTACCTGTTGTTGTTATTGTTATGAGTGAATTTCCAATTGAATACTGCATTTTAATGACATAAACTTACAGTATTAGTGAAAATTTTAGGAAAAAATGGCGGCCATTTTGAAACTGCTGGAAACCCCCCTTACGCATGAAAAAAAAATGTTGCACATACTTTTTTGATTTATCAATGTCTACTCTACATCATATCCAATTTTTTTTAAATATAGCAAAAAAAAATGCAACCTCTGATATTGCTACATTTCGGACTGGACTATAAGTTTGAAAGGCAAATGGGAAAACCCATAAAACAGCAAACGGCCATATAATGCAAAACAATTTAAAATTAAAATTATAACGGAATAGTAGAGAAAATCCGATCAGAATGACAAAATAAACTAAGCATCCACTGGAAGGAATCCCAATATCTGCAGACGGATCCGTTTGGGCCTTCCAGGCCTCATCAGTGCCGTACACACCAAACGAAACGTTCGACCAGCATATAGGTAGGGCCCAAACTAGTCCCACGACATGATTACAGAGCCAAACCAAGGCAATATATATACACAGCCCAGGTGTGAAATAGTGGAATACAAGCTATGCGGCACGGTGCCAGTAGATACAGAGAATATTTTATTCTTAACGCGTCCTACAAAATTCTTACGAGACAGCACTAGTCCGTGAATTTGTGAACAAGATCGGAGATCTAAAGATGCAATCTCTACCGTGCATCAATGGCGGCGCTGGATCTCAATAGAGATTCTTAAATAATATATATAATTTTACGATCTCCTGTCAGCCTGACTCCTGTAGACCTAACCCAGTACCGTTACGATTTTATCCTGCGGGAAATATCCTCAAGATTAAAATAGGATGCTATACAATTTCTATATAATTAATAAACTACTCACATTCTGCTGCCTATTAGAGGATGTAATAAGTCTAAATGAAAATATATTTTTCATTACTAATCCTAAAGATAGCATTTGTTGATAGTGTAATTAAAAATAAAATATTGCTCATCATTTTCTGATAACCTGCCAAGATTGATATAAAATTAAAGCAAATAGAATTATGCATGGTCTGAACAATTTAAAAAAGAAAGGAACTCGCTACGACCAGCGGTTTTCAGCACATGGAACCCTATTTTTTACTCCTAATTTGCATATTCAAGCTAATTTGCATATGAACGGAAAATGTGACAGACGTAATTTTAGGAATTTAATCCCCTTGTCATGTGTTCTCATTTGGAACGAAACCCCTTCATTTGCTATTTTCTTATACCGTCTAGCTTAATTTCAAAATACTCCCTACCCTATAGAAAGGGGGCGTGGTCATTTAATAAGGGCGTGGTTATTTTCGGGCTGTTCGTCCCGTATAGAGATTTTGGCACACATCCCATGTTATTCCTAGGGTTCTAATAGTCTATAACAGTTGAGAAATACTCTCGTAAATGAAGTGCATACAAATCTAGATTAAAGAACACATTCCGTAACTCTAAAGAGTCTAAATACAAAAATATTACACTGAACTGAGTAAATACATTTGAACATGAAAAGACACTAAAACTATTCTACCTGTTACGACACACTTCAGGGCCAGAAGGAATCGCACAAAATGACAACCGATTAAAGACAACACAATTTATTATAGTGGGTACTTTCCCTTTTCATGAAAATACTTCGAGCA